TGTTGCTGAAAGCTTGAATTTTAGTAGTGAAATAAATAGAGATTGTATATAACTCATCATCTTAATTATTATTGTATCAAGATTCATATCTTATTTATATTAAAAATTACTTAATGAACGAATTTTATATTATTAATAAAATAATTAAACATATTCAAGTAATGTAAAGTTTCACATTGAAGATATTTATGAATAAAAAATTTAATTAAACTATTAACAAATTGTTTATAAAAATGTGATTTGGATATTAATTTCAACTAAAAAGTGATTAGTTTTTTTTAACACATTTTAACATAAAAAATAAGCATTTTCTGAGCTTGAACCAGACTCAACATGTTTGTGCTTAAAAAATTTCACATAATGAAATTCAATCAGCAACAAAGACATTTTCCATAAAAAAAAAAAAAAGAAAGCTATAAAAACATTTATACTAATACAAAAAATGTTTAACACAAGGCGTTGACTAGCTATGTAAAACACTAAAACCTATACTATAAAAATTGAAAAAAAAAAATGAGAAGAAGAAGAAGAAGAAGAAGAAGAAGATGAAGCAGGAGAAGAAGAATAAAAAACCACCAAAGGCCCAATTCTAAAACTTGGGGTGCTCAAATGGGCTCAATATTTTTTTATTGGCAATGGGCTTAGTATTATTGTTTTGAACTTTTGCGGCTAAGCAAACTTTCCCTCAAAAAATATTTTTTTTTATAAATTACAAGAGAAAAAAAAATTACCTATAAGCAAATTTTGAAAAAAAAAAATCACTAATAAAGAAGTGTTGTTTGATAAGTTAAATTTAATGTTTAAGTTTTGAAACTAATATTTAAAAAAATTATTTTTTTAAATGTATTATATTGATGTAAAAATACATCTTTAAAATTTTTTTAAAAAATTAGTTTTAAAGTGTGAAAAAGTTGGTTTGAAACACCAAATCATAAATACCAAAAATAAAAATCTTTAAAAAAAGGCTATATCTAACAGCCCTATATCAATCTTGATCTTCAGCTTCAAACCTTAATCAATCTTGAGTTAAAAGGAGGTTTTATAATGCATGTATCAATAAAATAGTATTCTATAGGGACAAAGCAAACTTCTCTTTCACTTTTTACTAAAGAAGAGGTTTTAGAATGCAGCCTCACAATAGGCACAAAACAAAATATCCTTTCGCCTTTCACCTTTCACTAAAGAGGAGGTTTTGGAGATCCAATAGATCCCAAGTTGCTACTAATCAATGTCTTTTTCAATTAAACCAAAATAAAAAGGTGAGTTGGTCCATCCATTGTGTCCAACAAGTCTCACAAAAACAATTGGCAGCTGTTTTCATGTTAGAAGTTGGATGGTGCTGCTGCCAATAATAAAAAAGACAGGTCATAATTATTAATTAATTTATAGTTATTGGTGGAATGGAACTATGAGGTCCTAGAAGAGAGAATGCACATGATTATATATTAATTAATTAATTCTCCCATGATTTTTCCATTCAGGTATTTGCTTTCTCATGAAGAAAAAGGTTTTGGTATAACCACTTCAAAAGTTGGTGGATATATCTCCTTATCAAACTTTATCTTTTGGATTGAATTAAGGTATTAATTGAATCTTCACCATCTATTTTTCTTTTTTATTTTTTTTCATGATTACCTAATTTAAAAAACCCTTTACAGATTTATAACATTTTTTTTAAAAAAAATCAAATTATAAATGGAGAAAAAAAAAATTACATGTTATCATAGTCTTCCTTCTTTATCTCTGAGTATTGCCCGGTGAAATTTTGTGAAGATGATCCTCAGCTGCCGCTGCTCCGGCCGGAAACTGAAGTCGCCATAGCATTATCTTAGAGCAGTCCTCAGGAGGGATTCCATTCAACTTTGTCTCGTCTTCCAGAACCACTTGTTTAACAAATTTGAGTGAATTCTGTAGCAGGTGATGAATAATGGGGAAAAAAAATTAATTTATATTATTAATAACATGCTTTGTGGAGAAAAAAGAATTTAAAGAGAAAATATTAATCCTTTTTTTTTATTATGCTTGTATTTAATAAGTGATTAAAAGAAGCAATATCTTAGAAATCAAAACTTTACCTAACATCCAAGAAGATGGAAGCTTCCTGGGTTAATTACTTCAAATTTTTTAAAAAATGATTGGAAGTTGGCTGACTAAATCTCTACTAAACCCAATTATTCATGGGACCAAACTGCATTAATGAGCTCATCTTTACAGATGCTTTGGTTGGAATAAGTCCCTTTTTTTTATTGTCAGAACAAACTAAGAAATGTCTGTCTAAACTGAAAAAATTAGCATATATTGAATGAATTAACATATACTTAACTTATTATAGGTGTTGTGGTCTTTTCAAACCTAGACTGACATTTTTTCAACCTATTCAAATTAAACACATTTATGATATTAAAAATAACCACTTTCTTAAATTATGATATCTACTAACTAGAGTTTAAATTGATATTTACTAACTTCAAAATCGTAATTTAGAAGTCAGCACTAAGCTAAGTGAAAAGAAAAAATATGGTACCTGAGAGGTTTCTTGAACAGAGGAGGTAGGCCTACCCCATCTCTCTGGGTCCCAAAGGATGGAACTATTGAATGCAAAACTGGAGATTTGAATTGGAACCTTTTTGTCTGCCTCTGATTCTGCATGTTCCTCACTATTTTCACCCCTCAAATGCCATCCAATAACTTCTGACGAATCACATACCGGCCCTTCTATTATAACATTCTTCTCATTTGCTGACACTAGTGCCACAGGCCATGTTCCAAACAACCTGCATTTTGATACCAAATTTAAACACAATCCCTTAAACACAAAATAGTAACAATTGAATTCAAGATTAGTTTAATTAACAGAATCTGATTATTAACAGGGTCATGTTCACGCTAAGATCTTTAAGTTCAAACTGACCTGCATAATAATTTCAAAAATTATATAATTATAGTATTATATAATATTATAAATTTACAATTCTAACGGTTTTTAGTATGACTATATCAATGCAGTAAGTATTTTGATATGACAACCATGAACACGAATTGTCACTCCTAAACCTGTAATCAAGGTTTTAAAGGTTTGATAAATCACATAGGCAGACTAGGTTAGGGATACATACTCAATTTCTCTAAGGTGGTTGAAGAAGTCAAGATCATAGACATTGGAAAGTCCGGCGAAATGAACAATTCCACTCAGCCGGTGGTGCTCAATGTGCTTAAGCGCTACATTCCTTTGATGATTCAACTCTGCTTCTGGGTCTGTGAAATTCTCCTTGAACACCAAATGCCTGTACATAACACCGGTTTTCCTCAGGATTTCTGACAGTTCCTTTGATTCCGATTGCCGTTCCACAACCACCCATAATAGCGGCGGAGGAACCAGCCTTATGGTGTTCGCCAATTTCCTCAAGAACACCCCCTGAAACCGGCCTTTGGGACTAGTCGGTGTAACTATTATTACGAGTCTTCTAGTTGTGATATTGAATTCTTCTTCTCTTCCCAACTGTTTTGCTCCTTCTAATTCCTTGGACCTCGCCGGAGCTGCCACCGGAGTTTCAGCCATCAATGTTCTGTTAACATTACCAGAATGCGAAGACGTTTCTTCCCTGTGCAAGACCTCCACAGGTTGTGGCGAAAACTGTGATTTATTCGAAGTGGGAAAAACAGGGTTGCCGGAAAAGATTGAAGCTTTATCAGTCGGAGCAAATCCGGTGAAAAACCCCATGACAAAACACAAAGAGAAGTGGACGACAGCTTTCTTCCATAACTGAACTTTCTTCTTTGACCTCTCCGTCGACCCCATAGAACAGCAACAGGAAAATCAAATTCCCAGGTGGAAAAATCCGGTGACAGAATTACCACTATCCAAGAACAGGGGATTTAGAATTAAAGGCTATGATATAATTGAATGAATATAGAAGAGGAGCTAACAGGTGTGTGATTGCTACATCCAAACTCAAAATGGGTTGTTTTTATTTGGTTGGGTTCACTTGAAGTAAAGGAAAAAGGAGATTATGACATGAGCACCAATTGGTTGTTGGGATGGAACCCATCAACTGAATCCTTCAAAAAACAATTCATACTAATCTCTTGGCTGTCGTCGAGATTTGTTTGGGAGCTTGGAGTTGACCAATTCTGGTTTTTATTCTTTTGGCTGAGCAAACAACAATAAGACCTCGAGAGAAAGACGGTACTGTGCACTCTTGGTTCCACTTTGGGGCCAAGCAAAAACAGAAAAATGATTGGAACATTCCGTGATAGAATATACGATTGACCTTGTAAATGCTCAGTAACTGGTTAAGTTTTATGCACTCTATCTGTTTTGAAA